GCCCTAGACATTGCAGAGAGAGAAGGATGGCCAAGGCTTTACCTCTACACTGACTCATGGATGATAGCCAATGCCCTATGGGGATGGCTAGAGCGATGGAAAAACATGAGTTGGAAGCGTAGAGGAAGACCTATATGGGCTGCTGATTTGTGGCAGGACATTGCTTCTAGAGTAAAGAAACTAGATGTGAAAGTCCGCCATGTAGATGCCCATGTACCCAAGAGTCGAGCCAACGAAGAACATCGTAACAACAGACAAGCGGATAGAGCTGCGCAAATTGAAGTGTCACAAATAGACCTGGACTGGCAACATAAGGGAGAGTTGTTCCTAGCCAGATGGGCCCATGATGCTTCAGGTCATCAGGGCCGAGATGCCACCTACCGATGGGCACGAGACCGAGGGGTGGATTTAACCATGGACACTATTTCCCAGGTTATCCACGACTGTGAAACCTGTGCTGCTATCAAGCAGGCAAGAAGATTGAAGCCCCTATGGTATGGTGGACGCTGGGACAAGTATAGATACGGAGAAGCATGGCAGGTCGATTATATCACGTTGCCACAGACCCGCCAGGGTAAGCGTTATGTGCTTACCATGGTGGAAGCAACGACTGGATGGTTGGAGACATATTCAGTGCCCCATGCAACGGCCCGAAATACCATTCTGGGTCTTGAAAAGCAGGTCTTATGGAGACATGGCACTCCAGAGCGAATTGAGTCAGACAATGGGACTCATTTCAAGAATAATCTAGTGGCCACGTGGGCACGGGAGCATGGTATTGAATGGGTCTATCACATTCCATATCATGCACCTGCTGCTGGAAAAATTGAAAGGTATAATGGACTGTTAAAAACAACTTTAAAAGCACTATGTGAGGGAAAATTTAAGAACTGGGATAAGCACCTAGCCAAGGCCACCTGGTTGGTAAATACTAGAGGCTCTATCAATCGAGCTGGCCCTGCCCAAGCAGAATCCCTCCACACTGTAGATGGAGACAAAGTTCCAGTGATTCACCTGAGAGGTATGTTGGGTAAAGCTGTTTGGGTTACCCCTACTTCGGGCGAGGACAAACCCATTCGTGGAGTTGTTTTTACTCAAGGACCAGGGTACACCTGGTGGGTGATGAGGAAGGATAAAAAGATACAGTGTGTGCCTCAAGGAAATTTATCCTTGGGGAAAAACTAACTTTGTGCTTCAAGTTGTTTTACAGGAGACCAGCCGCCAAATGAGAGAGACCTGACCAAAGTTGATACCGGTATCTGACGATGAGACAGTGAACCAGTCCTAAACCTGAACTGTGATTGTAACCAAAGTGCCAAGGATCTGAACTGAGCTACTGTTGATGATGAATGCCGATCTTCTACCACAAGACAACTACTCCAAAGGACTATATATAAAAATATGTGTATATATGCGCGGGATATAAGCAAATACATGACATATAAGTGTTACGTAAAAATAGTATGGAATAAGGGGTGGAGAATGTAGTAGTTTTAAGACTAGGCCTTCCTTGGTGACCAGGTTGTAACCAAGGAACCAAGGCCATGTTCCCAGTATTCCATACGATTTTTACGTAAGCAAGAATATAAATAAGAAGAGAGAGGAAACTCTCGCTCTCTTTCTTCCGGCGGACCGAAGGCAAAGGTAGCTTTGCTGTCGCTCTGCCCGGGTGAGGGAGTGAGGCCTAGCGCATCTGGTTGACCTTGAGAGACAGAGAGTGCCAGCGGTTGTGTGGTGTGGTTCGCTATCTCTGGAGGGAAGTATTTGCGTTATATCCCTTTTTATTCCTTTTCCCTTTTCCCTTTCCCTTCCCTTTTCCCCTTTGGGGGGTTCCCTGTATATAATTTTCTTTGTATATATATATATATATAAATCTTCCACTTAAAATTCAGTTCGGTTTGGGTTCTTTTGATTTTTCTTTTTCGTGATCTTTTTGGTCAATTACACGAGAGTGAGAGGGAGGGGGAAGGCTTTGTCCCTGAGGTCCAGGCACTTGGCTGGGAGCCAAGTCCAACCTGGGACAAGTTTGATGGAAGCTGGTGCAGTGTCCTGGGGAGGGATTAAGGTTCCTTCCAGCCCAAACCAGTCCGTGACTCTGTGGCTCTGTGAAACCCTGCCCTGGTGCAGCACAGAAATGCTGTATTCCCTGGTTCTGATGGGGCTCTCTGAGTATCTAATCCTGGGGGGTGTTTTCTGTTTCTTCACCCATTAGTTACACGGTTGGATCAGTGCAAGAGAACAACGACCAGGTGTGGAAGTTCCAGCGTTACTTCCTGGTGCAGGAATACTGCAGTCACCTGACCATCCCCTTCCCTTTCGTCATCTTTGCCTACGTGCTGAGGAAGTGTTTCAAGTGCTGCTGTCAGAAGGAAAGCAAAGAGCCATCCATTTGTTGTGAGTTGGATTTGTCCTTGCTGCCCAGAAGTCGTCTCTGTGGCAGGGGCATTGCAGTTCCTGCTTGGCATTCTGTGCCTAATCCAGGGAGTTGGTTGTTTGCTGGGAAATTACCAAGGGCACTGTAAGACCTTGGAGGAGCTGGTTGTGCTGGAAGGGAGAAGCAGCTCATTCATGTTGTCTGTCATAAGCAAATCCACTGTGTTGCTGGAAGTCTCTTGGGTAAGATTCAAATCTTCAAGTCGGAGTTATCCAGTGTTTTCTTGTCCGAGCCATTTTGAGGTAGAATTACCTCATGTGTGTAAATCAGTGAAGACTTTGGATTCATCCTATCAGTTTAGGGCTGCCTGTGCTGCTTTCCAGCTTTGTCGGGTTGTGGTTTAGTGTTTTTTTTAAATTTGTTCTGTTTGCTGGAGAGTGACAGAAAGAGAATAAAGAGTTTCCTGGCCCTCTGGATGTGGCCAGATGGGCAAAGGACCTCAAAAATGTGGCGAGTCAGTCCTTTAACTATTTCTCCCTTATTTCCTCTGTCAGAGGCACAGATAGGAATTGTTTTAACAAGCTTTTTCCCCCAACAAATGGAGTGTTTTCTTTTTTCCTCATAAGTGCCATTCAGAAGCACCTGGGAGAGGATAAGTTGAATTAACTAACAGGCTTCTTCCCAGCCATCAGCAACCTGCCTGTTCCCTGCAGCAGGGGCTGGATTTGTTGGTAGTTTAGGAGGAAGAGCCTCCTTTGGGGGTCTGATGTTCCTTAGCACTGACTAAACCATTTTGGCTGCCCAAATCACTGGGTGGTTTCCTTGCAGGGGAGGTTGTCGGATGGCAGATATTTCTGCTCAAAGGATGCACAGATGATGTTGCAGTTCTGAAAGCAAATGGAGGAGTTAATTAGAGCCAGAATGTCATCAGGTTTTTGCTGATGATAGGAGCTGAGACCTGCATGGAGAGAGCACATTAATGTCTAGACTGCTGCCAAATCCTGCCTTCCTCACTTAACTATTATGGAAATGGTTGGGATTTGGGTGTTTGGATGCTTGTTGGTATGTGGGAGAACAACTGAGGGCTGTGTGAGGTTAGAGGAAATGAAACTTCAGCCGTTTTCCAGCTCTGGACTTCTTTTGTCTCAGTTAATTTTAGTTTTGTATTAAAACCCATGTGGTTTGTGCTGTCCAAATGGAACAGGACTAAATGCTGGAGTATTATCCTGGAGGACTTTGCTGCCTCCAGGTGGGTTGCTCTGTGTCACTCCTGAATTTACAGCATAACCAGGAGATGCTTTTTAGAGAAGACAGTGCTTCATCTTTCTGAAATATTGTAGTTCAATGACAAGTCATGGTTCTTAACGTATTTCACTCTTAATGTTCCAATATGGGATAGTGTGCAGACAAACAGAAAGCTCAAATCCACATAGAACGTTTCTAGAATGTCCTGTACCTGTTGAAGCAGTTGTACCTGTGGTAACAGACTCCAAAAAAAATCCAGAAGGACTTTTGGAGCTTGGAAGTGTGGGGGTTTTCTGTTGTTTTGGGGGTTTTTTGTCTCTTTTTTTTTTTTTTTTTTCCCCCTCCATATTTCCTCTTTTCAACCAACTCTGGTTGCCAGGAGTTGAAGGGAAGGGGAAAGTGGGGCTGTGAGTGCTCAGGATGTGGAGAAGGGAATCATTAACCTATGGGTGCAAGCGCTGACCCAGCCTTTTTGCATCTTAGCATTGGAGAGACAAATTTAACTATTCTTTTTTTTCCCAATATATTTCCCAGGCTCAAGAAATGAGGACAATGAAATTCTGGCATGGGAAGCTGTCATGAAGGAGAATTACCTTGTCAAAATCAATACCAAAGCAAACGATTCATCAGAAGAGTACGTCTGCCCTTCTTTGTCTTCCTTCTCTTAATTTTCTGTTGAATATTTCTAGTGAAGGCAAGTTTCCAGCAGCTCTAAATGTTTACAAACGTTAATGAGTAAGTAAATAAACTCAGCGTAAATGTGCTTTTTATTTTTAATTTTTGAAGTGAAATGGTGGCTCTTTTTATGTGCTGCAGGGAAGAAAATGTCTTCCTGTGGTGTTTTGAGATCTCATCGTGGAAAGCATTGCTATTGCTGACTATTCTTGCAACATTAGAAGTTCAGGTTGGATATTAGGAAGAATTTCTTCACTGAAAGGGTTGTCCAGCCCTGGCCCAGCTGCCCAGAGCACTGGTGGAGTCCCCATCCCTGGGGGGATTTAAAAGCCATGTGGGTGTGGCACTTGGGGACACGGTTTGTTGGTGGCCTTGGCAGTGCTGGGTTAAGGATTGAACTCGATGATCTTTCCAACCTAAATAATTCTATGATGCAGTTAGCAGAGAATATTACTGGAATATTACACCTGGAATAACAATCTCTATGGAGATCTGTGCTTAATAGCATGAGGAGGAGAGACCTCTGGGGAGGAGAAGATGCTCTTTGGAATGATGGGATTGGAAGTTTGGGGACTTGAACTGTGCTTCTTTGAGTGCCAGCTTGTGACACACTATCTTCGGGATCTGTCTCAGTGTTTTCAGAGTAATAGTCTAAGAGGGGAAAAAAAAACAAACAAAAACATAAATAAAGGTGGAAAACAGAACAGTGACCTGATCTGTGTGATGGCTGAACTTGGTTGCTAACTTCCAGCAGCTTGAGTATTTCCCTGAATCAGATGGGAGGGAAGAGCTGATCAGAATGGGCGAGAAAGACCAGACTCTTCTGTGCCCCTGCACATGAACGTTGCTGTCCACAGATAAATGTTTAAGTTGAGACTACCCAGAGGCAACCCAGCATTGCATAAGAAGCCAAACAAATGCCCAAAAAGCAACTTTTGTATTGGAAGCAGAAGCGTCTTGAGAAGGAAAATGGAACAGCATCCTATTAATAGGTTATAGGTTATAATAGGTTAGTTCATTTACTTGTCATGAAAGCAATGCCAGTCACCTGCAGCTGCACCTCCTTGGGAGGATGGAGCACTGGAGGGGAGTGTGGTAGTTAGGCAAGGTTTCTCTAATACCTGAACTCAGCCCTTTCCTCCCTGTTCTCCTCCTGCTTTCAGGATGGTGCATCGATTTAGACAACTGGATGCAAAGGTACCTGTGTTTGAAATTGCTCTGGGAAACGTGATTGTCTCTGGTAAAGCAGGTGATGGGCCACTGTTTTGCCCTGGGAATGAGGATGGATTTAAGGAACAAAGACACCAACTTTAAAGAATGAATGTCTAAGTTTACTATAGTGCAAAACAGCAAAGAATTACAGAAGCAGCAGTGACTTATGAAAGGATACACTTGGCAATGCATCTGATCACTACTACAGAGAAAGGTTATAGTGATCAAGTAATGAAGTGTCCCCTTCCCACACATGTCTGTCAGATTTAGCTTCTAGAGCTGAAGGCATGAAGTAATTAAGCAATGGAAAGCTACCGGTCTACTAGAGAGCACATCATGATCAGAATTCCCAGGGTCATACAGGTATAACTTTTATGACTGGGATACTGAAAAGACCTTCCCAGGGGGTATTTTCTGAGGCTTGATTCAATTGTGTATTTGGCCTCTGAAGCAGGGAGTTGCTCTGGCGTGAAGAACAGACTTCTTAGAAGTCCAAGGGTGATAAGACCCACATAACACTTCAAAATACATCTTTTGATTGATGTCAAATAATTTAGACTGCAGAATAATGGCTTGCTCTCCAGGCTGAAATGGAAATGGTGAGTGAGTCTGTGGCTAGTGATGCTCTTCTTGAAACTGAAAGGAGATCTGATAACCGTAATTCTCTACTGAAAAGTAATATCCATATTGTGCTTCTGTTCTTGTTAACCAGCTGAAATACATCTGCATCAGGGCTCACTGCATTAATTGCCCTGATGAACACTCTAATTGGAAGGTTCCTTTCAAGCACTGTTGCATTTAGTGTAATATTTGGAGAGGCAATTGCTTGTTACTCACAGAACTTGTGAGCATTGCTTTCTTTGAGCTAGATTGACTTTACATAAATAACCTTTGTTGTTTTTTGTTTTTTTTTTTTTTTTTTGGTGAAGCTCTCTGATTTGAAAGGCCTTCTGAAAGAGATTTCTAGCAAAATCAAATGAACGCAGCTGAAATCCAAGAGCCTGAGCAGGGTAAGCGCTCTTTAAATCCGTTCTCTGGCTTGAATAGGGTCTATAAGCATTTGTAATGCCAGATGGGTGTGTCTCTGGAAGGAGGGTTAATATTCTTTACTGATGCTTGTATTCATATTGTCTAATACTGTAAAAGGAATATGAGCCAAATTCTCTTCCTTGTTTCTGTTTCTTAAAGCCCATCCAGTGCCACCCCCTGCCGTGGGCAGGGACACCTTCCACCAGCCCAGGTGGCTCCAAGCCCCATCCAACCTGGCCTTGGACACTTCCAGGGACCCAGGGGCAGCCACAGCTTCTCTGGGCAACCTCACGGGGAAGATTGGCCTGTACAGGTGCTTTGCCTGCAGGTGTTTCTTTTGCTGTCCCTTCTTTCGTGTCTCTGCTGCTCCCCCAGGGCACTGTGTGCTGGATGGGGGCTGCAATGAGCTCTTGGAGCCCGAGTGTTGCACAAGGCATCCAGTTATCAGAGCTGATGTCAGGAGGATGAAAGCAAAGCACCGAGGTGGGCTGGGGGCTCTGCTCTGACATTCTTTCTGTTGCTCACACAGGTAGCAGTTCCAAGGAGTGATTTCTTGGAGCTGGCAGTGACCACCAAGCAGGCAGTGACTGATCCCCCAGAGTGGCAGTGTCTCGACAGGAGTCACTACGGTTTTCTTGCTATTTTTACTCTTTTTTTTTTTTGACAAAACAGCCCTTTGTGCTTGTTGCAAGGTGATGGTAAAGCATGGGATGACTGTTCATGTGCTTGCAGGACTCCCATGTTATCCAAACTCTCCTTTTTCTCATCCTCCCCCAAGTCCAGTGGCAGCAATTAGTCCTTGTCAGCTGCTGTTAAAAAGCACTCCTCATTCCCAGAGTTCTGCTGCTATGGCCAAAATCACTTTGCTTTTCCATTTCACTCAAAGGGGCCTGGTTTTGGGTTTCCTTTAGCCACTAATTGTTTGTCATAAGGAATCAATGTCCCTTCCCATTGCTTTGTGTCACAGCCAGATGTAGGTTGTTCCTTGCATGCTCTGTCTGTCAGACCTGCTGGAGTCTGCAATACTGATGTGCCAGAACACAGTGCATTTCAGCATCATCCCCCCCAAGGAAAACCTTTGGTCTAACCCTGTACCCACATTTTGGACTGCACATGAACACTGTGGAGTTCTTCCTGCTCTCCCTGGCCTGTGCAGCAGTGTAGAAGCTCAGCTATTACAACCCTAGACTATGGGAGAGACTTTAATTCACCTAGGAAGTGTTTGCTTGTTGCTTGTTTCCTTAGTGGTAATTTGTGTGCTGGGAGCCTTGCAATTCATTTGACTTTGGCAAGCATCTGTTTGCTGATGTTTCTGTTGGGAAATGGGGAAGAGCTTGTGGGCCAGCTCTTGATATTGCACTGCTTCCTATGGGGAGATGGCTCTTTGTGCTTTCTGTCTAAAGGAGCAGCTGAGTTTGGTCTCCTTTTGTTCAGTATAACTGGGTGATATTTATATCCTCATTATATTATCAGAAAGGTTACTGCTCTGTCCTTGCTGCACCTCCTGACCTGACTGTACTGTGCTGTGCATTACATGATCCTGAGGCCTCCAGCACTACCAATAGCAGTGTTACTTGTTCACATGGGACAATATTGGTGTATTCCTGCTCAAAAGTTTCCAAAGGACCAGGTTTTCATTGACTCCCCTGGCAGTTAGCATGCATCCTAAATTCTTGAGATAAGTTTCCTTTCTAGAAACTATTTTTCTCCACATCATTTGTATGCCTTGGATACAAAGATTGTGCTTTTAGTTCATTCCTTTCTTATATCAAACCTGCTGTGTATTTGCCCATGGCTCCAGCGATCTGTTCTGTTGTGAGTTGTTGAATGTAACTGTGAACTGTGTTCTGTAAACTCTAAATCTGGGAGTCTGCCCCTTGCCCACTGCTGCAGCCTGTGGGACAGGCAGCTCTCCAACTGCCCCTCTGGGCCAGACTGTGGGACTTGATAAGGGAAAGGGAGTCGTTAAATGCTGTACATTGAAAAAGCTGCTAAATCGTGGGTGCTCCCAGTTAAACCTGGATTTGTTAATATGGATAAATTTTTCCTTTCAAGTTTTAATAGGAAATAACTAAGAAAGAACTAATGCAGAGTTATTTTAGGCCAAAGTCATGTACACTTCTAATGTAATAAGAACCATAAGAACCATTTTTTCTTCACTTGCTGAGAAGTTTTAAACTTTTACATGAGGGATATGCAAGTGAAGACAGACTGGGAGAAGAACCTCTGCAAGTAGATAGGATGCATCTTTTCAACTGACAAGTAGGCAATCAGCACTGGACATTCAAGGCTGGAAAATAATGCATTGAAGACAAAAAGGATACATCATACAAAGGATTTTTATGGACTAGAAAGAAAGGACTTACATAGTAAGGAGGCGTAGAAAGGTGGGATTGAACATGAATGTGTAGTGACCTTTGAAAATGTAATATGTCATTTTGCCTTTGTAATTCCATGGGAAGCATTTATGGAGGATTATCCTCAATGCTTCTCCAGCACTGCCAATAAAAAGGAAAGCTGCTCAACACTGATCTACAATAAATCAATTTGGGTGTTTCTCTAAATCAATTTGGGGAGCCATTTAGGAGCCTCTCTATCTGGCTGTGGGACCTGCTGAGTCGAGAACTCTCTTGGGATGCCCTGGAGATTTTCTCTGGAGAGACAAGACCTGCTGGTAAGAAGCATTCCTTTCCCTCTGTTTTGGGTTTGGGACTGGTCTTTAGTGCCAAACTCCCTCTAAGACGTGGAGGAAGGGTCCTTAGGCAAGACAGCAGATACCAAGCCAGATTTGGAGTCCCTTTTGGGCTGTCTGCCTATTGTAACAACTGTTCTGCTGTCCCAGGATTGTCGGTGTCTCGTTGTCCCCCTACTTGCTTTTGATTTTGATACCCCTTGTCATGATTGATTGCTTGTTATTAACCTTGTAGTAGTTTTGTTGTCCTGGGATTATTGGGACTTTGTTGTGAGCGCTCTGAACCCTTGTGTTTAAAACCTCTTGGCCCTGGAATCAGTGAGGGTGTGTTAATAAGAGCGTGCATATACAGGGATGCCTGTGGTCAGTCGTGTGTTGGTTGTGAATTTAGAGTGTTTGATGTGTATTAAATGTTTGTTTGCAGCCACTCTCAGGATTGTGTCCATGAAGGGGTTCAGCAGTAGGGCTGATGGGCTTTCGCCCCAGGGGAAGCACCAGAGTTGTCTGTTTGAAGGAAAATAAAGTTCAGTCTTCTTACTGAAAGTGTATATAAAGTACATTAAACATAGAATCATAGAATAGATTGGGTTGGAAAAGACCTCCAAGATCATCAAGTCCAACCCCTGATCCAACTCTAATTACTATATCATGGCACTAAGGGCCATGTCCAATCTCTTTTTAAAAACTTCCAGGGATGGTGAATCCACCACCTCTCTGGGCAGGCCGTTCCAATACCTGATCACCCTCTCTGTAAAGAATTTCTTCCTAACATCTAACCTAAACTTCCCCTGGCAGAGCTTGAGCCCATGTCCCCTTGTCCTGTTGTTGGTTGCCTGGGAGAAGAGACCGACCCCCACCTGGCTATAACTTCCCTTCAGGTAGTTGAAGAGAGTGATGAGGTCACCTCTAAGCCTTCTCTTCTCTAGACTAAACAATCCCAGCTCCCTCAGCCTCTCCTCATAGGACTTGTTCTCAAGTCCCTTCACCAGCCTGGTTGCTCTTCTCTGGACCCGCTCCAGCACCTCAATATCCTTCCTGAACTGAGGGGCCCAGAGATGAACACAATACTCAAGGTGCGGCCTCACCAGCACTGAATACAGGGGAAGGATCACTGCCCTGCTCCTGCTGGCCACACTGTTCTTGATGCAGGTCAGGATGCCATTGGCCTTCTTGGCCACCTGGGCACACTGCTGGCTCATGTTCAGCCTCCTGTCGATCAGCACCCCCAAGTCCCTTTCTACCTGGCTGCTCTCCAGCCACTCTGTGCCCAGCCTGTAGCGCTGCAGGGGTTGTTGTGGCCAAAGTGCAGGACCCGGCACTTGGCCTTGTTGAACTTCATCCCATTGGAGTCAGCCCATCTCTCCAGTCTATCCAGGTCCCTCTGCAGAGCCCTCCTGCCTTCTGGTAGGTTGACACTCCCTCCCAGCTTGGTGTCATCAGCAAATTTGCTGATGATGGACTCAATCCCCTCATCTAGGTCATCGATAAAGATGTTAAACAGGACTGGGCCCAGCACTGATCCCTGGGGACACCACTGGTGACCGGCCGCCAGCTGGATGCAGCCCCGTTCACCAGCACTCTCTGGGCCCGGCCCTCCAACCAGTTCCTAACCCAGCACAGAGTGCCCCTGTCCAAGCCATGAGCTGCCAGCTTTTCCAGGAGTATATTATGGGAGACAGTGTCAAAGGCTTTGCTGAAGTCCAGATAGACACATCCACAGCCTTCCCCTCATCCACCAGGTGAGTCACCTGATCGTAAAAGGAGATCAGGTTGGTCAAACAGGATCTGCCTCTCCTAAACCCGTGCTGGCTGGGTCTGATCCCTTGTCCATCCTGTAGCTGCTATGTGACTGCACACAGGATGATCTGCTCCATAACTCTGCCAGGCACCGAGGTCAGGCTGACAGGCCTGTAGTTACCAGGGTCAGCCTTGCAGCCTTTTTTATGGATTGGGGTGATACTTCCAATCATGTGGGACCTCCCCAGTGAGCCAGGACTGTTGGAAGATAATGGAGAGCGGCTTGGCAAGCTCTTCTGCCAGCTCCCTCATTACCCTAGGATGGATCCCGTCTGGTCCCATAGACTTGTGAGGATCCAGATGGCTCAGTAAGTCACTAACTATTTCCTCCTGGAATACAGGGGAGCTATTTGGTTTCCTCTCTCTGTCTACCAGCTCCAGAGGCCAGTTGCCTTGAGGGCCACCTGTCTTACTGGTAAAAACTGAGGCAAAGTAGGTGTTAAGTACCTCAGCCTTCTCCTCATCTCTATTAACTATGTT